TTTTTTGGCTTTGTTAATTGAAATTGAATGTATAAGCAATCGATCTTTGTTCAGTTTCAATTAATCAAACAACTAAACTGGGTACAAATGAAGTTTGAACTTGCTTTGTATGTTCTTGTTTATTCACTTTTAATTCTTTGCTTTGAGTGTTGTGAACAAAATTGCATACCTAATTTGCAAATTGAAAGAGCATAACTTAAAAATTGTCAAAATTCTTTTGTCCACTGTTGTAATATTTTGCCCATTTGCAGGTTTTTAACCTCCCCCCCTCCCTCTTGAACTCTTATAAAATGTTTTGATTAATAATTGTATTGTATGTATAAAAGAATTGATTGGAGGGGGCAATTTGACAATTTATATTCGTCAGCTTTGTAGGAAATTGTGGATATTAGGTGTTTATTTAATGGATTGTATGAAAGGTTATCGAGTTTTGTATACCAGTTACGATTATTGAGTCTTTAGAAAATAATTTTTTCATAGAATTTTTGGTGAAAAGTTGATACGTTTAACGACAATGTTCCTGAATTTTTTATCTGTTGATACATGTAGAAGTTATTGTAGAACTCGTAATGCATCGCCTAATTCATGCATCACCTGTTAATAAGGATATTCATTATTTGTAGTTTACTCACCTGGGTCCATGTCATTTTTGTTGTTTTAGGACATATAGATGGAAGATGAAGTATGAAAGAACCTATGATCCCCTCCATACCAATATATGTAGGTGTAAGAGAAGCAAAACACAATAGTGCAGTTGAATTTGGGGCGACTCTTTTGTTTCTATTCTAAACTTGATTTGGTGAATCTGTAGTTTCGGCTTTTTCATTATTATTCATTAAACTTAATTTCATGAATATGTTGAATATATAGTTTCGCTTTTTCTTTATTATTCATTAAACTTGATTTGGTGAATTGGTTGAATACATAGTTTCAGCTTTTTTGGATACTAGGTGTTTATTTGATGGACTAGAACCATTGATCTACTTCATCCGAGTTCGTAAGAAGTTTATCTGTTGTGGACATGCTTATTAAACCATCCAAATTGTGAATGTATGTTGAAATACGTTTGGGGTCCTATTTTGGAAGAAATTTTGCCTAAGTTTCTTTTTTTGTTATTTCATGCCTTCAGAGTTCAGGCACGGACAATTGCTGGTCTATCTAACATGAACTTGAGAAGCTTTTCCCCTCACAATCACCACTTGGCCAATATAAACTACCATTTACTATCTCCCTAATAAACCACCATTCACTCAAATTTTTCAAAAAAAAATCAATTTCAATTCCTATAGACTCTAAGAATTTCTTAACTACCCATTTTATGTGGGGAAAAAAAGAAAGGCCCGCCAGGGAGAGAATGAACGAGCCGGAGTAAGAAGAAATTCCGAGTATGCCCGCTAGTTTATAGTCATCTTACATGACTATATTCAAAACATGTAGACAGATATACCCCTGACATGGGGGCAAATACATACCTAAAAAAAAAACAGAAGGAAAAGAAAAGAAACTCACTGGGATCATTTTTGGATCAAGCGTGCGATGAATAGCCCCAGGATCACCGCCAGAATCAACCGCCAGGCGAGCGAGCTCCATACTGGCGCAGGCGGCCACCAAATGAGCTCATCCTCTTCTCTCCTAGTCCTACTCTGACTACAAGTTAATTTTGAACTCAGTGCCCGTCGAAAGGGGCTACTGTCGGAATGTGGACTGAGATGACTTGGGGTGAAGGGGACGAGGAATTTGAAGCAGGACCTGAGTTCTTGGGCTACTTCGGCATTGATTGCTGAGGCTTGTTGGGAAGTGCCGAGAAGAGAAAGCAAGTCGGAAGCGGAGGCTTTGAAATTGGGCTTGGGATTGGGATTGTCAGGTGAGTTTGAGTGAGATTTGAGGAAGGAAATGGTGGGGGAATGCGACGAGGTTGTGTAGGAGGCTGCCAGAGAGAGGGAGAGAACAAAGGCGACTCGAATTGAGAGAGATGGATTGCCCATCTCTCTCCGTGACACACTGTCGCTCGCTCGTGCGCTGTGTGACAGTGTTGGTCGCCTGTAGTGGGAAGGAAATTAGGATAAATTATAGAGAAACTCGTGACCAAAGCCGGACCCACCAAACTTTATTATAAATTCAATTAATTTTAAACTTATTTTTCAAATCTCGCCCTTTCTTAAAAATGACATCTTTTTAGAAAAAAATGTTCCCCTCCACTCCCCAAAAAAAAAATAAAAAAAATAAAAAATTAGATAAAAATGTAATTTAAAATGACGCTTTCAAACGAAATAAAATTATTATTCAAATCATCATTCAGAATGATATTCTAAATTTGTCATTGATAATGACATTTATGAAAAATATATTGAAATGACCATTAACACTATTAAATTCTTTGCACACTAAAAACATCATTTAATTTTGATGAGCCCAAATTTAACCATGTCAGACCCAATAAATCCAGGAAGTCTAAGTTAACTAAAAGGTAAGTCAAGTCTAATTCGCAAATCTGGCCCAAACCAAATTCCAAGTAGTCCAAGAAGAATTAGAGCACATGGGGAGCAATTATCAGAATATTCCCTCTCAAAAATCAAAACAACCATTTATGGCAATTACCTTTTGTAGATATCCGGAGAATTAATACTTTTGCCCTCAAGTTACCACCTTAACCAAGGTCTTGTGCCTATAAATTGTAAGTCTTCTATATGAAAGACACATTAAGCTCTACCTCTACCCCTTTTTACACACATGTAGCTTTTCTCCCTCCTAGCTATTGTACCTCTCCCGGAGCTAACCACTGTCATCTCTCTCGTTTACCTTATTTCATCAATAAAGACCCCTCGGTCACCGTTGTCGTTTGTCAGAGTGAAGTAGATCATATGGGCCGAACCACTATATATCTGTATATTGACTCAATATTTACATTACTGTGATTGATTTGTTTATTAATTGTCCATTAATTATACTATGTCACACACTCGACTGTTGATCTTACATGAGACTATTTTGTGCATCATCTATTTGGCGTCGTTTATGGAAAACGACTAAGTTTTCTACTACCTTGCTACTCCTGGGCAATCACGACCAGGTCGATGAGTCAACAACTAGGAGATAACAACCTAGCCCCTTGGGAGGGGGCTACGCCTCCCCTCGCACCCTTGGAACCATCCACTACGATGACTCCCATGGTCGGGCAACAGTTTTTATAGACCATGCAGCTGCTAGTAAATCAGAACCAGCAAATCATTAAGTTGATGCTCGCCCCGGGAGACGTCGCTCCTCAGCCTGTAAGAGAGCACCACTCCATCTGATGAAAGAAGCACCACAACCTCTCCACACTGGGGCTCCAAGCCGCCTCCCACCGTGGGGCCTCGCACTAGAATGCCCTTGGGCAACGCCAGGGTGCCCCTTGCCCAAAAGTCCCTCCTTAGCATGTAGGAAGCTCACATGTTCCCCTCCTTATGTACCTGCGTAGAAGAACAAGGGAGAAAACCAGTATGCCAATTATGAAAGCCATTACAATAACCTAACAGAGAATTTTTCCAACCAATGGGACGAGAAGATCAAGGAGGTGCAAAACCAACTCGTTGATGCCCTCAACGTCATCAAAGCACAAACGCCTAAGACGGTGAATTACTTGGTAAGGTACACTGATACCCTATTCGTTGTAGATATTTTCAACTACCCCTTACCCTCAAAGTTCAAGATGTCTACCATCGAGATCTTTGATGGTACCAAAGACCCTTTGGATCATCTTGACACTTATTCTCTCATGCAACTCCACAAACGTGTCTGATGAGATCATGTGTAGAGCCTTTCCCCACCACCTTGAAGGGGTCTGCTGGACAATAGTTCGTGAATAGCAAACCCTCTTCCATTCACTCCTTCGCAGAGTTGAGTAAATCTTTCATCTCCCACTTCATTGGGGGATGTCGACATCAAAAGTCTGTTACCCACCTGCTCAGCATCAGGCAGGACTGAGATGAAAGCCTTAGGAGCTACCTCACTCGTTTCAACGAGGAGACTCTTTAGATCGAGGAGCCAGACGATAAGGTAGCCCTGACCGCCTTTATTGCTGGTCTGAGCTCCTCTAGCTTCATGTTCTTCATCTTTAAGAAGCTGTCCTCCAGCATGCCCAAGATGCTATCAAGGGCACAGAAGTACATGAATGCCAAGGACGTTACCAAGGCCCGTCAAGGTGAGTCCTCCCAAAGAGGAAAAAAAAGAAAGGATACCCGTGAGACAAGCGAGAGGTGAAGAACAAGAGAAAGAGAACTGAGAGAGTCTCTGTTTAGGACCGTCTAGGTCCCGTACCCCCCAAGAGAACGATAGCCTTTCACGCCACTCAACACCTCAGTGGAGCATATCCTATTTTAGATATAGGATAACCCCATACTTCGCTGGCCTAGAAAAATGAAGTCTGCTCTAAATCGTAGGAATTCCAACAGGTACTGTCGTTTCTATCGTAAACCACGACCACGACATTGATGATTGTTTCTGGTTAAAGAGGCAGATCGAGGAGCTAATTCAGCATGAATAATTGAGGCATTACATTATCGATTGAGGACCAAGTCCACCACTCAATCGAAATCAGGAGGATCGAGAGCGCCAACAGCCCCTCGAAGAGATCCAGACTATCTTCGGAGGGTTAAGATGAGGAGGTGACTCCAACTCAGCCAGAAAAGTGGACACCCAAAAATCCAGACAAGCTGAGTCACATGACTCTAGCCCTATGAAGACACCTTGGCACGGGGAAGAAAAGGTTGTCACCTTCTCAAACAGGGACCTCGAGGGGATCCAAGCCTCTTATGATGATCCTCTACTCTTAACCCTAATGGTAGCCAACTACTAGGTTAAAAGGATCCTGATCGATAGCGACAGCTCAACCAATATTATGTTTATTGGTTTCTCAGAGGAAAGGGTTTATCCCTTGGGTTCCATCACCCTGTCGATCACAACAGAAATAGCACCGAGAAATCCCATCATCATCGTAAATTTTATCGTACTTGATTCCCTATTTGCATATAATATTATTCTTGGACTCCCTGTCCTCAACACCTTGAGGGCAGTGTCGTATACCTACCACATTTTCTTTCATTTCTAACCACCAGTGGGATTAGAGAGATTAGAGGAGACTAGGTCTCCGCCCGAGAGTGTTATGTGGCCTCTATGAGGGCCAAAAGGCCAAACGAGACTCTCCAAGTTAAAGCACTTGACCCGAGGTATGATAGCACCTTGGAGAAAGGGCAACCAACAGAAGAATTTCAGGCAGTAGCAGTGGATGAAAGCCTTCGAGAAAGGAAAGTCTATATAAGTTCCTCACTTTTCCAAGAGCAAGCATCTGAATTGATAGACTTCCTTAGGCAGAACACAGATGTCTTCGCTTGGTCCCACGAATACCTGGAGGGCATCGACCTCGAAGTGGCCTCCCACCGACTCAATGTCAATCCTATGTACAAGCTTATCCACCAGAAGTTGAGGAATGTTAGTACTGAGAGAGGCCAAGCCATGAAAAAGGAAGTGGAGAAGCTACTAAAAAATGGGTCAGCAAGGGAGGAAACCTACCCAGACTGGTTATCCAATGTAGTGATGGTTACGAAGGTTAATGGAAAGTGATGCCTTTTCGTGGACTTCACAGAGCTCAATAAAGCCTATCCCAAAGACAGCAACTCTCTCCCACAAATCAATCTCCTTATTGATGTCACTGCGAGACACAAGCTATTCAGTTTTCTAGATGCTTACTCCGGATATAACCAGATCAGCATGTTCCCTCTAGATTAGGAGAAAACCTCATTCATCACCTCGAAGGGCACCTACTACTATAGGGTGATGCCTTTCGGATTCAAGAATGCTAGAGCCACATATTAGTACCTTGTGAACAAGATGTTCAGGCTCAGATCAGGAAGACTATGGAGGTCTACGTAGATGAGATGTTAGTGAAGAGTATGATTGTGGTAGACCATGTAACACACCTCTAGGAAACCTTTGATGTATTGAGAGCCAATAGGATGATGTTGAATCCTAAAAAGTGCGCCTTTGGCGTCAATTTTGGAAAATTCTTAGGTTTTATGGTAAAGAAAAGGGGCATTGAAGCCAATTTAGACAAGATTAGAGCCATCTTGGAGATGAAGTCCCCAATCTCAGTAAATGAGGTCTAGCGCCTTAATGGAAGGATAGCGGTCCTCAACAAGTTTGTCTTGAAACCAGCAGATAAGTGTCTGCCTTCCTTTAAAATCCTTCGCAGGTCTTTCTAGTGGGGACCAGATGTAGAGGAGGCCTTCAGAAGCTCAAGGCCTACCTCTTCACACCATCTTTGCTCTCTCATGTTGTACCAGGGGAGACCCTGTATCTGTACCTCTCCTCTTTACCCTATGTCGTGAGTTCTATCCTTGTCCGGGAGGATGGAGGCATCTAGAAGCCTGTGCACTATATAAGTAGGGGCATACCAAGGGGCAGAGGTAAGGTACTCAAAGCTTAAAAAGTTGGCTCTCTCACTTGTCACCGCCACCAAGCGTTTACGTCTTTACTTTCAAAGTCACACCGTCATGGTTGTTACAGATCAACCACTTAAGAGAATTCTGGGAAAGCCTCATGTGTTCGGCCGACTACTCAAGTGGGGCATCGAGTTAAGTGAGTTCGATGTACAGTATCAATCGAGGGCGACTATCAAAACACAAGCACTTGCAAACTTTGTAGTAGAATCTACACCACCACAGGAGTCCCCGGATTCTATGTCGCCACAAGAATTCCAGGAGTTTACCCCACCATAAGAGTCCCAGGAGGAAGTGCCACGTGCCCTTGTGCCCACTTGCTCAGTACATACTGCCTTAACTCACCATGAGGCAAGCCCAGACATTATCTTGAGAGGGCTCAGTGTCCCGGAGACAGCTCCATAAGCCCCGGGAGACCACACTCCTAGACTAGAGGCATCTGTCTCCCTTGTGCCTACTCCACCTGAGCCCTTTGCACCTTCTCTATCTTCTATTATACTAGGTTGGGGACT